CTAAATCCCCAGCAGAGTCGCCAAAAACTGTAGACGTCCCCGAACGTCCCGGGAGGAAATCCCCCCCTCCCCCCCCCCTCCGTTTTGTTCATTTGGGGTCATTACAGTTCAGGACTCAATGTCACGGTCCTGTATCTAATCTCGCAGAGTGCAATGTAAGACCGATGAATCATCAAAGAGTCCAAATTCGGCAAATCGTTTTTTAAAATAGGTTTTTTGAAAGAAGTGCCAAACATGGACTGTTTTGCCAGATATAGAGTCGCCACCTAAATATTTTATTTTTGGGAAATTTGGGAAACCCTGACTCGTTGCCTAAGGCCACGTGTCTGTCATCACCAAAGTTGCCTCGACTCGGGAACTTGGGTACGATTGGAGAAGGTAACTTCGTGAGCACCCCCGCTCGCCCGATCAAAGATCGGCCTCTACTAACCATAATATCGCGTTTTGAAAACATTATGCGTTCTTAATCCGGTTATTAGCCTAGATTACTATGTGATGAGCACAGCATACAAGTATAAACTGGGTCGCCTGAATTGGAACAAAGCATCTCATGTTTATTTTGAAAATGATTTGATGGTGCTACCCGCAAGTAGGCTAAGACGTGGATTTGCTACCCTCGGATGGGCTTAGAAAACATGATTTTGCCACTATCTAGTGGGCTTAAAACTCACAATTAATGAATTGTTCCAATCCAAATAACCCAACCTTCACCCACAGGCATTCAAGCAGGTATATCATATAAGCAAATAGCCTCATGGTAAGCATGCTATCATGGCAATCACTGAGACACATGCAAGGATGCTAAAGCATAAAACTTACCATGTACTCCAAGCCAAAACAAAAGCTATGTTAGAAATTCATGTGTGATCCTAACTATACAGAAATGCCTAACGCAACACATGCAAAATGTAACTAAGATAGGCTTAGCTATTCTAAAGATGGCATATGAAATGCTACAACTAACAAGTATTCAATTTGGAATCGAAACACAATGCAGTTAGTATGGTGCGCCATGCCCGGTGCATGCAATACAGATGAATGATGCAAACATGCTATCATACTGTATGCTAATTGAAACATGTCCTAATCTAACCATCATAAGTTGGTAAATAAAAGGGAGAAAGACGTGGGGTTGGAAGACATACATCACACTCACGCACACTTATTACAACATTGCCCTCGCTCGGAGGGTCCGAAAGAATAATACAGTCCGAATAAATAGAAAACCCTAATTAATTAACAAATTAATCTAGGAAAGTAAGTAAATTGGCATGCAAATCCATGGACCGCCTCAGCTCTGTTCCCAATGATGAATGATGCATGCTCGAGTTGCCTTGCGTAGAAATCCATTACGATGCCCCGGTTTGCCTCTATTTGCAATTAATGTCGGAATGCTGTGCAAGGCTTTAGAAAGCTGCTGATTTCTTATTTGCTGCAACAGAGAGCAAGAAAGGGACATGGCAAAGTATTTCACATATGTATGCATGACTACTCTTTAAGGAGTGTAGTCTTCGATCCTCGTGCCACCAATCACGCATATCGATGCATGATGGCCGAGGAGTCGAATTGCATGACTCGATGTGAAATGAATGCACATGAAAACACAACAAGACCTAAACTCCATCATGGGTAATCCAGAGTGTCGGTGACAAGGAATTGAGACACGTTCCGTCACTCGGAGTACGAAACGTCCCTCGTTTTCCATGCTTGGGCTAACTCCTATCCCAAACACAATGCAAATGAGATGGCATACACAATGCAACTAATATACAACCTAGCATACGCAATGCTATGAAATGGCATACGCAATGCTCGATATAACATGGCATACACAAAGCTCTAACACGCAACCTGGCATCTGCAATGCTATGAATTGAAAAGTGATGCACAATGCATAATGGACTTATACCAACATGAGTGGACCTTAGCCACACTCACATCAGTGACCATTAGATGAAAATGAGACAACCGAAACGCGTGCACACATGTATGCATACCGAGGACCGAACCTAAGGCATCAAATGCCACTCTACCAAAGCATGGCAAGGAATGAAAGATGGCCTATGAACATGTAATTTCCAGCACTAAAATATGATACTAAATGATCCTGAAACATGGAAATATGGCACCCGATGCTTGGAATAAGCCTCGAAACTCAATACTAGGCACATGCATTGAACCACAAGTATACTAAGCAAGCATTATTTGATCATGAAGTCTAAAGACAGAGCCAAGGCAGTCCCAAAACTTGCACATTTCCAGTTTAGAGCATGGCCAAAAGATACTAACATGATGGACTAAAATAGCATGCAACATTGGCTAGCAAGCATGGTTTACATGGCATGTATATGAAGAAAATGAGAACTCATCAAACTAGCCAAAAACAATGAATAAAACATGCCAAAATATGCCCAAATAATTACTGAAATGCAGCCAATGCATGCAAAAATAAGGGGCTTCTTTGGAGGGCCTTGTAAGGGGTTGTTAAGCACATATAAGATAGACACTTAGCATGACCAAAACAACTCTGGAAATGAGTTATGACAGCCCTAAAACTCACAAAATAGGCCCTGAAATCAGTCTAGGAAACATGCAAAGAAAGGCCCCCTCAAGAGGCCTTGAATGGAATTGTTCTACACATGCATTGTAGGTATAAAATATGGCCAAAAGGGCCTTGGACAGAGCCAAGGAAGACCTTAAAACCCACAAAATTGGGTCCAAAAAGTGACTTCAATGCATGCAAAATAAAGCCCCTTTGGAAGGCCCAAAAGACCACCAAACAAGACAAGGAGAGAAGGGGTCACCCCCCTCTAATTTTGGCTCTAAAAAATGCATCAAAGCCACTAAAAATCCACTGGATTTCAGTGGCTAAGAGGTCAAACCATGGCCAATGCAAGTGCTCTAATGCATAGCCTTAATCATGAAGGGGTGAAGCATGCATAGGGGGAAGATGACCCCAATCAGAAATGGGACCTTAATGAAACTTGAAGAGTATCTCAAAAAAAGACTTTTTTCAGTTTATAGAAAATCTCAAAAACGCTTACAAGTAAGGCTAAAATAGGATGCAAAAATAGCCCTAAAAGAGAGATAGATGATAAGGGGAAGTAAATGACCTCAAACAGAAAAGTTCCCTTAAACAAAGTTGGAGAGGGGATCAAAATAAGACACTTTCTAGTTTGGGTCGAAGCCCAGAAATTCTTGTAAGTAAGGCTAACCAATCATGCAAAAAAAATGCAAATTTAAGGGAAATGGACACTTACCCTTGAAGAGCCAACCTCCAGCAACTTTTGGACCAAGTTGGTGAGCTTTCAACCTCTGCAAATGACTTCCAAGGTGCTGGAATGGATGATGGAGGTGTGGTGCTAAGGGTTGTAGTGCAAATGGACCAAGAAAGTGAGGGTTTTGGAGCTTTGAGTAGTGACAATGGAGGAGGGAGGTTATGAGCCTTAAGCAAAAATGTCTAACCCTTCAACAAGAAGCCAAGCCTCTCCTTTATAGAGGAGAAGCTTCAAAATATCTCCAAGAGACCCCAAGTATCCTCCATACACGTGTATGGAGGATGCACCAAATGGCCTCCAGCTGGCACAGCTGGATTACACTTAGAAAAAGCAAAAGCAAGAAGTAGGCTGGCCAGTTCAAGTGGCTGGCCGGCCACTCCCCCTGGTCGGCCGACCAGGGGTCAAAAGGTTCAAGCAAAATTGCTGGTCTGCCTACTCAGAAAGGTGGCCTCCCAGATGAGTAGAATACAGCTGTGTATAGAAAAACCAGAAAAAGTGACCCAAGAGAGAGAAAAGCTAGCTTTTAAGCAAGGTTCAAAAGGGTCGAGATGAATTTCTGGCCGGCCTATCCATATTGGTGGCCTCCTAGATGAGCACAACACAATGGTGGTATGAAAAGCCAGAAAATGTGGCTCAAAAGTGAGAAAAACCAGCTTTCTGTCAGAAAAACCGGCTTTTGGAGAGAGAAAAAGAGAAAACTGGCTTTTCAGGGGAAAAGGTGGCCGGCCACCATCCTACTCCCTTCCTAACAATGAAAATAGGGTCCTTACCAAAAATGGACCAAAACGGATGCAAAACGAAAGTTCGGGGGCCAAAACACGCGGTTCGGGGCCCCGAAAACAGGCTGTTAGGCACCGAAAGTGGCATATGACCACGAAGGTTGTCTCCCGGGCCACAGTGTTCCTCTAAAGGGAGGAAATAAGGTGCGTGCCAAAAATTAGAGCAAACGGAGGTAGTTAAGCGGTCTCGAACCAAGGCACACGGCCGACGGCTCCGAAAATCGAAAACCAGGCTCCAAACGGGAAAAATAGCCTACGACCACGAAACGTAGCCCACGGACGCTGAGAGATGGTCTACGAGACCTCTCCCTCCCTTCGGGAAGAGAAAACAGAGAGAACAGGACCTGGTTCGCAAACCGAGGCAAAGCACAAAAGAGCCCCAAAGTCCGGAGGCAAGGCTCACAGCCGAGACTCTGAAACCTCAGAACGAACACAATATGCAACATCACCGAGCGCTCAACTGGTGATGTCTAAGTCTTAAGGTCAGTCAAAAATGGGGTGTCTACAGGTCATTAGTGCCTTAAGCTATTCAAATGCCACTGCAACTTTTGAGTTCCATTGGAAGGAATCCTTTTTGAGTAATTGATTGAGTGGAGAATAAATTTTTCCATAACCCTAAACAAACCGTCTATAGTATCCTGTAAGGCCAAGAAATCCTCTTAGTTTCTTTAAAGTAACAAGTGTAGGCCTACTAATCATAGCTGTAATTTTAGTTGGTTCAGTCTACATCCTCTTTACCAAACACACACTTGGACCTTTTGGCAAACAGTTGGTGAACTAGCAGCAACTGCAAAGTAGTTTGCAAATGATTGGTCCATGTACTACTGTATACTAAAATGTCATCAAAAAATACTAAGATGAATTTCCTTAATTGAGGCCTGAAAACTTCATTCATCAAGCTTTGAAAATTAGATTGGGCATTTGTTAACCCAAATGGCATTACCATGAACTCATAATGTCCATTATGGGTTCTAAATGCAGTTTTGTAAATGTCTGCGGGAGTTACCCTTATCTGGTGATAACTAGATCTCAAATCCAGTTTAGAGAAATACTTAGCACCACACAATTCATCAAGGAGTTCATCTATAGCAGGAATAGGAAATTTATCCTTCACAGTAGCTTTATTTAGGGCTCGATAATCAATACACATTCTCCAACTCCCATCCTTTTTCTTAATTAATAGCACAGGTGAAGAATAAGGACTAACACTGTTCTAATAATTCCTAAAATTAACATCTCACTAACCTATTTTTCAATCACAGTCTTTTGGAAATAGAGATACCTGTAGGGCCTGATATTGGTAGGTTCTATCCCTGGTTTCAATGGTATGCAATGGTCATGAACTTTGGTTGGAGGAAAGGTCTTAGGTTCTTGGAAAATATCTTCATAATCAGCCAATAATGCTTCCAAGTCTGGGGGCAATGTATCTTCTAGTTCATTACATTCAGCTTGAAGAGAGTACACTTGAGCTACAACTCCATATGCTCGTTTCTGAATTATCTTTTTTATCTTATTAGCCCTAATGACTGTCAATTCTTCTTTCTTTCCTCCCCTTAGCACCTGCCTTCTATCATTCAACTGAAACTCCATGCTAGGATTCTTGAAATCCCATTTCACTGGACCCAATGTTGCTAACCACTGAATCACCAATACCATGTCACAGCCCTTGAGTTGCAAAATCCTCATGTCAGCTTGAAATTTGGTACCCTGCATTTCCCACCGAAATCCTTTACATATTGTTGTGCTCATTAGTTTGGTTCCATCAGCAACTGAAACTGGTAATGGGTCTGTCTCTGAGGCCATTATCCCCACTCTCTTGATTAGTTCTGGACTTAGGAAATTATAGTACTTCCCGAGTCTATTAGGATCATGACTAGTCTTTTCTTGACATTGACTTTTACCTTCATAGTTCTATAGGAAATAGAGCCAGACAAGGCATTAATAGAAATCTGTAATTCCTCTTCTGGAATCTAGTCTTCATCCACATCTTCACCCTCGTCTTCCACCTATTCCTGATCTTCTTGTTCAACCTCCAGAGCATATAATTGCTTCTTTTTATAGATATGGCCCCTTGTATACTTCTCATTACATTTGAAACATAATCTTTTGGCTTTTTTTTTCTTCCAAGTCCTTTGGTAGTTCTTTCTTCACAAGATTCATAAATGGATTTTGTTTGGCCTGATGGGAAAAAGTAGATTCTCCCACTCTATTCCCTTGTCTTGCTCTTCTTGTTATGGGTTCAATGTTATTCTCCTGCATTTTAGCTAATCCAATGGCCTGAACTATAGTAGTAGGCCTGAACATTAACACCCCTGCCTTAATGTCTTCTCTTAACCCACTGAGAAAACAACTAATGAAAAAAGCTTCTGGTAAATCACTGGTTTTATTTGCCAGAATCTCAAATTGTATATGATATTCCTTCACAGTGGTTGTTTGCCTTAATTTGGTCAAATCACCCATTGCATCTTCATAAAAATTGGGCCCAAATCTAGAAATAATTCCTTGTTTGAAAAGATCCCAATTAATCTGGCAATGGTATTTCTCAAACCATTGGTACCATTGAAGGTCCTTATTCTCTAAATGCAAAGTGGCTAGCTTCACCTTATTTGCACTGTCAACCAAGTCATAATCGAAGAATCTCTCGCATTTATATAACCATCTAGTGGAATCCTCCCCAAAAAATCTTGAAAATTCAATTCTTGCATATCTTGTATTGAAGAAAGTAGATAATTGAGATGAATCCGAACGAACCTGAGAAGCTTCCATGGTTTCTAGATGATTTCCAAAAACTCCATTTGCCATTTGATTATACTTGACATTCATGGCAAAAATCAATTTCTTGATTTCATTCACATCTGTCAATGAATTTCTGATCTCTCTAATATCTTGTGCTTGTCTATCACTGCTGTCTTTAAGAGTTCGTATTGCTTCATCGGTTTTTTTTTTTTTTTTATTCTTGTGCCCTAGTCCCATCTGACATTTCTGTGGAATCTCTTTTGCAGGCCAAGAATAGCCTTGCTCTGATACCAATTGATATGACTATGAAAGAAGAAAGCAATAATTGAAGAAAAAGAAAAGAGAAAATGGAAAACTAAATATGGAGTCCATTCACCCTTTTCTCATAAAACTTGATTATAGTCCAAAAGATCCCCCCTTTTCCCCCTCAACCGTAGCTATATACAGTTGGAATAACCCTATCCAATACTAACTAACTAACAAACCTCCTAACCAACTACCTAACCCCCTAACAATCAAACAATCTCTCAAACTAATTCTCCCTCTCAAACCGAATTCCTGAATTTCAGCTGCCAACTGAGCTAACTGAATTCAAAACTTCCTAATTCATAACATTAATTCGTTTATTTATCTCCTTTTTTTTAGATTGTGTACATCCGAGAACACAGATCTGAGATCAACCCCTGTCAAAACTATCTTTTAATCAATTGATGGATCGATTGTTTTCATTCAAATCTATTTCGATTAATCATTGGTTGATTTTTGTGAGTCTCACTCTCATTTGGCTTATAAATTTCGGTTTCTCTCTTCAAGTTTAGATATGTTCTACTTGCATTGCGGCACTACACATTGGCATAAAGGTAATGAGCATCATTATCTCTCTCTCTCTCCTGAAACTTGCTCTCCATGTTCAATGCATATCCAGAGTTAGGCTTTTTTTAGTATTGATGTTTTTGATAGTGTATGTTTAAGTTTTTGATATTTTTTTTTATTTTTGGTTTTGTTGTGGATTTTCCACTAATTGTTATATTGATTCCATGTTTCTTTATGCAGTAACTGTTGCTGTAATTTTTATGAAGTAAATTCATTAAAGATGTTTGTTTGATTTTTTTTTTTTTATGTGGATCGTTGGAAACAATGAGTAGAAGCTCAACGATAAAGAGATGTAGATCTACTCTCTCTTCGATCAGATCAGCTTTCTCTCTCTGATCTGCTAATGTGGTAATATCATATATGCTCTGTCTCTCTCTAGTCTATTATTTTGCCTTTTTTAGGAATCTCATTTTGGCCTTTTCTTGCTTTCTAACTCTCCTAATAATCATTTCAGTGTAGTTCCCATGTAAATTGATAAACTACTATTTTTCATTGCTTACAATTGCTGGGAAAGAAAAAATGTGATTTACACCAATAGCAACCAACTATATGTAGATGATCTGGCTTTTTATTTTGTGAAGCTACAAGAGATTATCTTAAAAAGATCATTCTGCATCTTAAAGTGTTTTGTGGTTTCTAATATTGGTCATTCAACTCTTGGTTAATAACCAAACGTGTGTTTGGCCTTGGCCTTGGGGAGGCAATAGTGACTGCAGTGTGACTAATTTCTTTTCTTTCTTTTTTTTTTTCTTTTTCTTTTTTAAATTCGTCTATAGTGGCCTCAAGTTGCTTGGGCATTAATCTTTGTTTAAGGGATACCTTTAATGCTTGGGATTTCTTATTTTATAAGTAGAGAGATTATCTACTTGTTGAGACAAAACCTTATATGTTAAAGTCTTATATGGATTTTCTTATATGCTTGGGATTTCTTCGTTTGTGGTCTCCTGCTCTTTCTACTCCATGCAATGGGATATATGGAAAGCTCTTCTCTTTCATGGCGAATGGATTTTGTCTAGGGTTTTGTTAGTGTCTCACATAAAAGGCAATTTCAAATCTTTTTTTGCTTATGTTTTTGCTGATTCCACTTGTTCATTTTTTTTTTTTTTTTTTTTTTTTTTTTTTTTTTTTTTTTTTTTTTTTTTTTTTTTTTTTTTTTTTTTTTTTTTTTTTTTATTTTATTTATTTTTTTTTTTTTTTTGGGTTCTTATGTTTGAATTTTGAATTTTTTTAAGTCCTATTAGGAATTGAATATTTGAGGGAGGGCTACATCTCTTTTCTTTTCTTCTAAATTTGGCGGGTTGGTAAATATGTAATTTTTTAACTTCCAATTTTAATTACTGAATTATAAAAGATTGCCTCAAACCAATCCATTACTTAGGTTGTGCTTTAGCAGATGGTAAGAGTAGTACACTATGGTCAAATCAATGTCTAGGTCGAGCAGATTTAAGTTCACAATATTGTTTGCTTTACAGCTTGTATTTAGCTTGCTGTTTTTAATACAGGTTTTTTGTTCATAATTATAGTCTTATATTCTATGGATGAGGACAAAAAGAAAGGCATTTGCAGTTATAAACTTTAGCTAATTGTTTTTATTTGATAATGTACTTGCGTTTATTCGATTTCATTACCAAAGTTGGTGGGGACTTATCTATAAGCAGAAACCTTTTTCAATGGAACTATGCTTATGAGTAGTATTTGTATTCTTAATGATTACAAACATGGCTGGTTTAGCCCTAGAGGGTTCTCAATTTGATACTTGCCAATATGATATGCTAAAATGAATGACATGTAAGTTTCAGTCATTTGATTCCATAAACATTCATTGTTATTTTGCCGGTAAATTTTAAGGCTTGGCAAGTAGGTAACTTTGATTCACAATTGACTTTAAATTTTTAATTTTTCCTAAATTTCTTCTTAGGATATGGAAGTGGTTAGAGTTCTTGTATTCTAAAAATGCTAAAGCTTCTCAAGTTGTGAGAGCTTTTGTTTTCAACTGTTAGGCAGGTACCAAAATTTTCTACTCTTTAGTTTTATGTAATTGATTAATTGGTTAATTATGTGGGTTTTGTGTTTCTTCCTCTATTTGTTTGGTTCTTGATTGATCAAATCTGTGTCAACAATCTTGAGATATTTAGGATTAAATGTTAGCTTAATGTGTGCAGGAGGTAAATGAGATGTAGGCAGGCTTGGACTATTATAGGTTTGGGCGATTTCTTGTTGGAGAATCTACAATTCCTCTATCCAAATCTGCTAATAAATAATCATATACCATTGTTTGGTTGTTTGTTTTACTACAATCAAAACATTTATAAGCTCATTGTGGGTTCATTTTTTTTATTGAGTACAGGGCTCTAGTCTGCTATGATTTAAACTCAGCCAATGGGGAGGCCAGCACAAAAACTAGTTTCTTTTGGGTTTTGACCTTAGAGATATATGTGGTTTCGGGCTATAGATTTTGTATATATTGAACCATTGTTAATCCTCTCATGATGTGATTTGTTTATTTGTTCTTATTTTCATCGATTTACATTACATCACTCTTGTTTTGATTTGTTTTATTTAGCTTGCCAGGTATTCAACTTCAGTATTTGAGTTGTTGTAGTGCAAGGAGAAGTTCTTCAGTGCCCATCGAGACACCAAGAAAAAGCACAAAGATCTGGAAGTTTAATTGGAACTCTTAACTCTGTTTGGTTGCTAAGATTTTTTTTTTTTTTTGGTGTCTCATTCTTCTGTGAAATATTGATGTCTTTTTAAAAATTTATATCTTTGTTCCACTTGCCTTATATTTCTTGCAGTCAAAAGTCTGAAACCTATAGATTTTCTGTTATATTGTCTTCAATTAGGGATATAAAGTGAGGTTGTTTACTGATTTGGGATGCTTCATTTTTTTATTTATTTTTTTAAGAATAATATTTACTTGTATGTTTTAGATATAAGCAGTTTTCGCCCGATTCTTATATCAAATTCATGTGTTCTGACAACTTTTGGTAATTCTGTTCATTTTTTCTCCCCCAAGAGATGTGAGTTTTTGAAACTCCAATGAAGATAGCTCTCTAGATTTGGCAAATCAATTTTTTGAGAAAATACTAGGAACATTAGTTATTAGATTTGAGATATCTATCACATTCATCACAGCTTTTCCATGCCATTAGTCCTTTCTCATCAAGAAATTTTCTTTTATGTGCAGTTGTGCA